ATAAAAATATTTAAAATATTTGACAATATTAAAATATTGCTTATTTTAAAGATCTGATTCTATTCATAAAAACTTTTGATTTAATAATGGATTTATGTACGAATATTTGTTATAATATTATTTATTTGGTAGCCCGGCAATGACAACAATTTATAAAAAAAATCGATACTACGTAGTACCTTATTACTACAATGTATTATTAAGACATAAAATCAATTCAAATTGTAAAATGTGTTTTTAGTTAAAACATATTGCAAATAGGTATTTTATTATTAACAAATCCTCACGTATCATTTTTTTTTTAACTCAGTCAGAAAATTCAAATTTTTAAACAAAATTTACTTGGAGCTATTTTAAGAACTTGTATTTTTTCGTATATTATCGGTTTTATTTATATAAATAGTTATATATTATTATAAAAAACGTATTTGGTATATCATTTTATTTAATTTCATTCAGTTTTAAACACATATAATGTTAATTAACTTGCTGGGAAGTTATATAAAAGCATTGAAAAACTTATAAATTGCTTGTCGATTTTCCGCTCATAAGGCGTACAAGTAGTTGGAATATTTTTGTATTAAGCAAGAAACGTATAAATAATTTTCTTCACATTTTTTACATTTTGATAGTTAATTGCAGTAGCTACGCGTATTACCACAGTCTTAGCGATTTTATAAAACCAAGTTTACTTACCTTTTTTATAAATCTGTTATGTTTACTTTAATGTGTATAAGATTGAAGTTATTTTAAAAATAGCTTAATGGTGGTCAATGATTATTTTTTCGAGATTAATGAAGAGAAGTGATAAAGGGTATTTGATCTTTTTTTTTTGGATATTACAAGTGACTTGAAAACCTTGAAATAAAATATAGAATTATGTAATAGGTGTATATATTATGTAATGTTATTTTATTATAATTTATATCGTCAAAACGAAAATCGTTTATTTTGAAACATATTCGACATGCAATCACGCAGACAGCGGAATGTGTATATGTTTATCATCATATACGTTCAAAACAGAAGACCACCAACATGAAAATGATCGAAAAACCTACGCACCTTTTCACGGTAGCCAAATATGATAAGTGATGGTGTAGCTTAATGTAGCAGAGTTGACGGGATTTACTGATAATTGATGGTAAAAATAATGATGCAATGTATAAACAACATATGTATCAAAACCATGGTTTGTATAAATATATTATATATTATATTAATGTGTTATACTGAGCAATTTATTCATTAAGTACGCTTAGTGCTCGCCCACGTTTATCCTTTCAAGTACGAATTTATTCAAGTTTAATTTCAGGAATTTTTCTATTATGTTATTAATGACAACAATTATATAGTTTTTTTTATTGAATTTAAGGAGTGTCATGGTGCCATGACAATTTTGGTGTATTTCTAAATCAAAATTTGGACGAGTACCTGCATAAATAAAAGAAATTGTTGAGTAAATTATATAATTATATGTGATAATATAAGCTTAGGATGATAACGGTGCGATAATTTTAAACGCTGCGGGTTGAAAACAGAATAATCATTAATCAATAATAATGATGATAAAAAAACAGTTATAATAATATTAATAATTCTATCCATCGTACGTCATACGTATTTTTAGTAGTTATGATATTATAAGTATTGTACAGATCTGACATCGAGAAGAAAACCTACACAAATGCGTTAGTGGTGGCAGAGGTGGTATAATTGCTGACATATACTGTCGTAGACCATAGTCGGTGGCGTTGTAGGAGTCAGAACTGATTATGTTCCGATCACCGTGTGTTAGAATCGGTTGACTGGTTAGTTATAATCGTGGTCAGCATACCACGATTTTTTTCGTTAGGTATCTTACCTACATTTTCAGTGCGTCAGAATAGGATTTGGGTTTTCAATTAAATTAAATCGAAAACCACAACCGAAAAAAATAACTAGTACTTGGTTATTTTATATATACTTTATTTCTATAACAATCTTTTAATTTATTATTATTTTTTTTTTTTTTTTTAAGTTGGGCAGCTGTATTATTTACTTACTCAAAATCACTCATCATAACAAAACAGTTGGCGCGAGAACAAAACCAAGGGAAATAGTTATTGTATCATTTAACATTTTAATTGTATAACATTATGCAGTCGTGACCCATTAAAAAAAAAAAAAAATCACAAAATTGATTGTTGGCCTCTGCTCATAGTTTGGGAAATACTGGTCTGCGTAATATGATAGAAAAATAATTTTCAAAAACTTGAGTTTGATCTCTTTCTAAATCGAATTGCTATATATTTTTTAGGTAAATCATTAATATTGTACGTTTATACCAGAAATACATGCTAGCGAGGCGAATACTAAAACTCAAAGAGTTGAATGAGTATCGAAACCAAAAGCAAAAAAGGCATTTTTGACGTTCTAGCTTCGAAATAATAAACTAATTGTATTAAAAAACGGGAGCGGTAATCTGAAAACCGCGAAAAGACGTAAATACAACGTATTCAAAATACGTTTCGTATTTTGTGTACGGGTGTTTAATATAAAATAATATTGTACAATGTAATCGGGACAATTAATTCGACTCAGGCCGATAAAATCAGAGAGCGAACTGCAAGCCGCAGGGGTAAGGGTTTTGAACCTAATAGATATTATATTATTTGGTTTTATTATGACGTTGGTCTCTACCAATAACGTTTAAATTAAAATTTGATCCAATTTTTCGGTCAGTGCTTTTTGCTAGGGAAACCAATTACACTGCGTCGCGAGTGCCCGGGTCTATGCGAACGGATGAATCGATAAAATTAAAAGGAAAAAAACATTAACGACCGCAACACAATCGCAGGATATTGAGAATATAACCCGTTGACGGCGTCCCTCGGGTAGCAGTACCTTATAATCACTAATCGGTTTTTGTGGTTTTAAAAAAATTAAATATACGTACACCGTAGAACAGGTGCGAAAATTCTCACGAAAAACCGTAAGTACCGGCTATGCTGATCACATTAGTTCGCACGCTTATTATATTTTTAAATAATTTTACCGCGTATAAAATATTTTGTTATTACTTGCCTACAATATTCCACGTTGAACATTGGGTACTTATAATCTAAATCGTGTGATGTCATCCGTAACGGAAGATTGCAGTCGCTTTAGGGTTAAACCACAGTTTTATAAACAACATAATATTATGTATTTATTTTTTATTTTTATTATTCTGCAGGTAAAATACGTATGCACTCAAATACGACTACAGTATAGGTAATAGGTACCTACTAGTTTTCTTCCGAATAGTGTTAAATTTATTTATTACATATTACGTTATTATACTGTACGAGTACAAGGTAGTACGCCGCGGTGGTGTTGTAAAAACTAAAAACGATCACATTGTTCATAAAATATATTATTGTAAAAGCGTTAATTGTAGGGACGATTTAAATTTTTTTTGCTCCTCGACGTGTAGCGGAAGAATATCTTTCTAATAGGTACGTATTTTTGTCGTGGAAATAGATCCGTTTCCTATGCGCACATATAGTATGATGTAACGTGTGTCGCACACAATGGAAATGCCGAAACGTATAAGTAAACGCAGGTACCTATGTACGCACGTGAGTTACAACAATAACAATAATTGCCGTTTTGTCGGTGCAACGATATTATATTATTAACATATAATTATTATACAGCTTTAAACGCCGCGGTGGCGGTTTACGACCCAGCGCGTAAATTTCTTCAATATTTTTATTGCGATACATCGCGTGGAGGCTGCAGTGTGCATTTATACGACCCACTGCAGACGAGAGCCGGAGCGATAATAACAGCGTACAATATTATTACTACACCGCGCACGTAGCACTTAGATATGCTGTGGCGAACACTCTAATAAAATATCATAATATTTTAGTCCAATGTTTATCGATTGTGATATAGGTGTACCTACACGTTATAATATTATACATAGAAAAATAACTCTGTGATATTTATTTCTCACTCATCGTCATAATAATAATTATTAATAAACGCGAGCTGTATGAGCACATAGCGTGTGCAACAGGAACAAGAGAAAAACGCGCGATCGACTGCAGAAGACATCGATAAAAACGAAAAATAAACAATTTCGGAGAACGGAAATAATTTTTACGCAAAACCTGCAGTTTTTGACAAAATAAATGTTGGCTTTACAAGATGTATACTATCACGTTTTTGTAGCCGAACACGTGGTATTATTTTTCTGACCGATTCCGTGACGTCATCTAAATTCGTTACATTTAGACTACGCCCACTGTTATTATTGTTATTATTATTATTTTTTAATAGGAATTTTCCTAAGGTCAACCCTTAGAAACCGATGATTAATATAATTACTACCATAAACATACTATATATTTTAATCATAAATTTTAATAACATATTTTATGATGTAACATAATATACATACACAATTCAATGTTTTCACGTGTACC